CCTTAAAAAGGTTTTATTGAATGTTCTATGTTCTTTAAAAAAAAAAAAAAAAAAAAAAAAAAAAATTAGCAAGAAATAATGATAAATGATATCATGAATAACACGAACGATTCACGGATACGCGACACACAAGACTATAAAAGATACATAAATAAATAATAAATGATATCTTAATGTAGATATATATTGCCAAAACAACCGATAACAATGCAAATGCAAATTAGTAAAATTTTGACGTATAGAATTATCTGAATGCAAAAAACTATATTCAGCAAACAAAAATGAAACATTTTAAGCATTAAAAATAAAATAAAAAATAAAAAACCAGTCCGCTAAAGATTTAACTCAATATTCAGTTTCAGTAGCTTTGAAATAAATTTTGGCTTTCAAACTTTTTATCTAAGAAGCGACAGAGTAGAAAAACGAGAAGGCTGCTACTTTCACAATTTTGTTCTTTATCTCTCATTCATGCTAAAAAAACGGTTAGTGTTTCATTCATGTCTCTTGTGCTATAAACGTTTCACAAAATTCTGCTAGCCTCGAGGCATTAGCGATAATGTTAGCTCGAAATAATTGTGTGCTTTGATTTTAGAAAAACTAGCAATTATATTAACAATATTATTGATAAAAAATGCTAAACAAGTAAAAAAAAAAAAGATACTAAGTTTCTGCCCGCGCGTTCTATTCATAGGGCAATTTCCACTAAGAACGTGTAATTGATCCTCAAGAGCGGTTGTCTGTAAAATTCAATGCTCATTATAAGTTTTCAAACTTGTTTTTTCACAAATGTTTTTGGTGTTTTGAAATCACGAAATGATGCTTCTATATGTACTAGTCCAAATACCAATATCGGGCTATACTTCGTTGTTTAATACGACGAGTCCATCAAATATACCTAATTTTTGCCTCTTTTTATACTAATTTAAAGAGGAGTTATAAAAGTGACCTAGGAGCAGCCGGACCTGGGGGTTAATAGTTTTTTAATGACATCATTCCCGTTACGAGGTGTCTAAGTGACGAAACCTTCGTTTGACTATGTATAAGCAATCAACTTTAATAACGTTACCCCGAACAACTTCTGGCCTGATTTAAGTCATTGCAAGACTAGCTCACAGAATTGCTGCCAAGTCCACGGGAATCGAATTTGAGACCCCAAAAATGTGTATGCACTTTTGCTATTCCTCGATTGTACGACGTTACGTCATCGCGGCCATGTTGGCGCCATTAAATCCAAGATTTCTCATTAGCATCCATTGTTAACGACACCACAATGGCTGCCATGTTTTTGTCTTTTGACTCTCTTGGGAATGCTTGCAGTCCATCAATAGTAGGCCACCCCGAATTTCCAAGCTTTTAAAGTATTGAAAACTAGCGAGCATAAAGGCCAGTTTAGACGGTACGATTTTCAGCTACAACTATCGTATACAACACGCTCGCGCTATCCTACAACTCGAGTCGTACCGTGTAAATCAAGCCTACAACTCGCCTACGACAGACGCGAGCGTGTTGTATACGATAGTTGTAGGCGAAAACCGCACCGTCTAAACCGGCCTTAAAAATAGCATTATAAACACCCGTCGGTAAAGACAGCATTTATATGATAAGGCAAAGATAGAAATTCATGCGCACCGCTTTCAATTTACCATATTAAACAAAACGGTTCGTAAACACTAGACTTAACAAAATATTTACCCAATTTATTACTGGAAGGAAGCAAGGCAATAAACTGACAAAGAAATCGAGAAAAAGTCTTAAACAGAATATCTTAATTGAGACTAAATACAACAACGTAGCCCAATAATTTACGCATTTGCTATAAAACTCACAGGAGTTTAACAAATGAAAATCTAAAAGTTCTGTATTACAGATTTAAACGTTTTGTTTTGTGATTTAGCTGTATCAAAGTCACAACAAAATTAATCATTCTTTTTCAGTTTCTTTCCCGTAAATTTCATCGTTTCTCATTTTTTTCTTTGGTCGCTGAACATTTTATGAAATATTGATATAAACTACTGAACTACCTTTTATTCGGCCCAACTTTTAAAAAAATACTGAAATTTCATCTTTGTCAAAACACTGAAATATCGACTGAACCAAAAAAACATGGTAAATATTTTCTTAACTTTTACCTTTAATTTATAATATTGAGTTATGGTTCGATCTCTTGTGCATCAACAAGACACTTAGTGTCATCATTGAGTAGGCCAACTATAATGTCTATATTTATTTATTTATAGCAGCTAATACCTCTTTAAACAATACTGAGTGTATAACACCAAAACGATAATTAAATTGCTTATATTTCAGTAAGCTGCTTTTCTTGAAATGAAGTTTTCTTTTTTACTAGTTTTTTTTTTTTAGCTCCAGAATTGATGGAAAAGGTTTCTTTATTTTTAAAAAAAATGTCAAAATGATTATGATTTGAATTAAATCACAAACTTTGGTTTTCTTACCTTAAGTGAAGAAGCCTTCTTAAATACTATTGATTTTGAGAATTTCTTCGACAATCCCTTTGGTTTGATCGATCCCGGTGAACTTTACTTTCGCGGACGACTGATGCCCCCTTGATTGGCCCCTTGATTGGCCCCTTGATTGGCACCTTGATTAGCCCTTTGATTGGCGTATGTTCAAACAATTGTTTTTCTAATTTACACAGCTTTGACCACAATTTAAGCACTTGGTAAATAAATAGCCGACATATATAATAATAACTCGATGGACGTACGCTGATTAATGACTAATGGTTTTTAAATAAAGCTATGACAAGGTATAAGGGCAGAAAAAGTATACATAATTATGATGATCGTGGTGAACAATTGAGGAATATCACGAAATCTAAAGACTTTCAGCTCGCTCACACTAGCCTGCGTAGCGGCCCAAATTGGGAAGGGGGGAGGGGGAATGGAGAGAGGAGAGAAAGGGTCCTCAATTTGGGCCGCTAGCTCACAACCTATTATAACCGGTTCCAAAGTATTTTGGGATTTTCCATTTTAGAAAATTAGCAGCGATTTGTTATCATTATCGCAGGTTTATGTTAACCATGGCAATCGAATTGATTTTTTTGGTTGATTTTTCAGTACAAATGTTTTTGCACTTCATTTTGAAACAAAAACTTTAGGTATTATCTCCATCATGTCATTTGAAATTTCATTTGAGTAGTTTTTATTGAAAAAAAATGAAGCATTCTGGTGGAAGGTATGTTTCTTGTCATCCGTTCAGTCCACGGCAATGCTCAAAAATTTTGAGCACTCTGATGGAAGGTCGTGCTTGTCATTCTGTCCACGGCAATGCTCAAAAATTTTGAGCACTCTGATGGAAAAGAATGACCAAGCATTTTAAAATAAAAGGTTTAGAAAGTAAACTTTTATATGGATAAACTATTATCGATGTGACAAATGGACCCTTCCACGGCTTTTTCAACTTATACATGGACTAGTTAGGATTCCACTGGAAAATGCTGGAATGAACAACCTCAATTATCAATTTTACTGGTTTCACTAGCTTAAAATATTAAAACATGCACTACAATGATATGAAAAGGTGAACATTTATTGCGTAAAACACAAAAAGCAGGAGTAAATTGAAAAGTGCAATATAAAACACACAAAATGCTAAGGTAAATCTCCAGGTTAAATAGTAAGCTAAGCGATAGTAAGCTAAATTAAACTAAAAAACGTTTCTCACAAGAACTTGTAGATTTCCGAAGTGCAGCACTACTGCCCAACTAAATTCTTTTATTCAAAAAAGGATATCTTTAAAAAAATTCCGTCTTATTAAACCATTTTTGTGAGAAAAACACACCTTTGTTTACTTGATTATGCATGCGGGCTGAACGAAGATCTTCCTTTTCAAATGATTATATTTCACTTGTATTCCATTCAATTTGCTTGATAAGGCCTTCTTTTGCTTCTGGTAAATGTCTCGAATTCAATTTTACGATTAAAGTAGCTTTCAAGTTTTGAAAAAACGCTGCATTTTGCAGCTGATTTTCAACGATTCAGTTATCACTTATGATGCTGCAATGTCGATCAGAGGTCGATCACGAATTCAAGGAAAACCAGTTTTACTAGATTTTGTCTGTTAGCCAATCAAAAGCTGCGACAGGCTCACGAATCAAACAACTGATAAAAACTGGTTTTTGAGTTRAAGTCATTCAAACTAAAAACTGTGCAACGAAGCTTCAAAACTACTACGAGTGATTACTGGAAAGTTTTGGTTCAAAAATCATCATTATCGATAGAAGGAAGTATGAAGGAGTTCAAGTGGCAAAGTCATAACAAAAAAACTGGTTTTGTGCTACATTTGAGGATGTAAACAAAGTGAAAATCATTGAACTTAAAACAAGAAACTTCCAGATCACAACTCAACTATTATTGGAGAAAGTTTCGGAGGAATTTTATCATTGTTTTATCTCAGGAACATTTCTTTTTTTCTATTTTCATTGCGGTAAAAATACRGCCCATGTAAAAACAAGACTCTTCATMTAGATAACCAAATATCTTTATGTAAAAAAGAAGTAAAAGTAAGATTATATTTTGCTTACCATTTTTTTAAAAACCAGTTTCAAGTCTGTTTTGCAATGTCGATTTGTCCTTAAAAAGTTCGGAAATCTTCAAAATTTGGATTTTAATGAAAGACATCCAAGGTAAATTTCACTAAACCTGATATTTTATTGGATTATCTGTAATTATCTTTCGTTTTTCAAGTAAAAATAACCAGGAATTCAAAGCGTAATTTTCGTAAACATCCAAATACATATGTAATTTGTTTGCYTTGAGAATGCTCAAAAATTTTGAGCATTCCCATGGACATACATTGTATTTTTATCTTAATTCTATGGTGCCTTGAGTATGCTCAAAAATTTTGAGCACTCCCATGGACATACATTGTATTTTTATCTTAATTCTATGGTGCCTTGAGTATGCTCAAAAATTTTGAGCACTCCCATGGACATACATTGTATTTCTGTCTTAATTTAATGATGCCTTGAGTATGCTCAAAAATTTTGAGCCATGTGGTGGTAAAATGTATCATATAATGCCAAATAGCTTGTATAGGAGGATTTATACAGCTTGTTTAGTGATAAAAAAGCATACAGATGGACGTGAAGGATTAAAATGTTAATTTTAAGCCAGGTTTAACATTGCATTTACGAAAAACACTGAACCGTGTCTTCTCACACTGTTTTGTAATAACCATGGCAAGCGATCACTGAAAAACCCTTCATTTTGTTTATCCTTATCCATGCCTTCATAATGTACATATTGTAAACACAGATATTTTGTGTGTTGATTAAAGTAAAGGAGAACCATACTTGCTTATTGCCTATTTATTGAAGTAGCTTCCAAAGTGCCTCTCTTAGGTTTTCAAACCAAAAAAATTGAATTTTCGCTGAAGTTTGCTAGTGTTTAAAAAAATTGATAAACAACGAATGGCAGTTCATCCATTGGCATGCTAGTTTGGCTAATAAAACCATTCTAAATCATTATTTTCTAAAATGGAAAATCCCAAAATACTTTGGAACCGGTTTTATGCATCCCAACCAGCAAATCTAAGACATCATGCAGTATGATGGTCGTGCTTTATCCTCTTCAGGACTACGATTATCGAACTCTATTCCCGAACATATTAAATTGGCATAAACTGTTGCAGCATTCCATATCAAGCTTTACTCTATATGTTAGTGTCGAAGTTGGAGTAGAGAAAGCTCACTCCATATATGTTATGATCAATTCCATATTTGGATTGTGCGGAAAAGCGGCAAACACTGAAAAGGCCGTCGTTTTATGACGAATTCCACATGAACATTTTTGAAGAAGAAAAGAAAAGAAAAAAAAAGGACAAGTAAAAAAAACAAAAAAACTTTGGAAGATCGAGGAAGGATACGGGGACGATGCTAACTCGTGGGTCTGCCTCGCAGACAACAGACACAGGGAAATACGACACTGAATGTTTGATATCAAAACCGAGTTAAAGACATTATCTTTTAATAAATATTTTTAGTTAATTCTTTTTGCATTATAATTATATAGTGACGTATATTTAAGGTAAATATAGTTGTTATCAGTTTTCATCGCTACACGGTAATCGTAACGAACGTTGCGACAGAATAAATCTGCAATAGACTTAAATGTCAATCTAATACATCGCGGGCAGAGTACGTACTGAGGCTAATGGGAACCTACTCTAACGATTTTATTTGATTGACAGCAGTCACTCCATCGCCCGATTTCCATGTCGCGCGCGACTTTTGTCGTCAAGATTTTGCACTGAAATCGACTACAAATCGTACGATTTCGCGCGTGCGATTGGAAAACGCGGTAAATGAACTCAAAATGATTCATAAGTGATCTTTATGTTACCAGGGAGATTATCATTGTCAAGGAATTCCCAGGGGTATCGTTCAGCCTTTGGCATCCTTGTGTTAATCGATACATAATATTGGTACTTGTAGCTGTTCCCCTTCTTCTGCCACTCACTCCAAATTTTATCCATGAAGCCGTGGTGAAGGTAAAACTCAGGCGTATTGCTTGAAGCAAAGTTGTGGTGCATTAGTCCGCCGACGCAGTCGTGGTAATCATTATGAAACTTCTCCCTGACGATATATTCAAAAGCAGTGAAATTGTTGAGGCTCAGGGTCTTGTGAAGGAAATCCTCGTCGTAAAGATGGCAGGAGAGGTTAAAGTTCCTTTGTAAACAACCGCCTCCTTTACTGATAGGTAAATGCCAGGAACCTTCTCTGAACTTTCCGTCCTGTACGCAATAGGAAGGTGGGACGCCGTTGCCGCCAAGACCCTGAGGACCGCTGTTCCATACATCTGTGGGTTCAGTAGTCCTCCAAAGATGTCCTGATGCTGCAGTCCACTGGAAGAAAGGAATGGTTATACGGCAGTCAATCTGTCGAAGAAAGTTTTCAACTTTCGTCAGGAACCATCGATGCCATGGGAAGAAGATCTGAGGCATGTGATGGAGATATGTACTTGGAATGAATGAATGCTCAATGAGAATTGCTTCGAAATCATCCTTGTAACGAAGATCAGTTGTTGCCTTGTAGAAAGCATTAATGTATCTTCGACGTTCCTCAAAGCTCATTTGGGTGAACTCTTTGCGAACTCGATAGCAGTTGAACTGGCCTTTGATACACGTGCAACGCTTGCCACAAGCGTCATAATATGTTTCTTGTTCTCTGCACGGCTTTTGAGGACCTATAATTGTGAATCCACAGACAAAAATTTAACGAACTCGCAGCATTTTCATCGTCAATCATCAGTTCTCATAGCGCCATAAATCAGAGACCTTGTTGCATGCATGTATCTAAACTTTACCTAAAAACTAAAGCAGCTGTTAGCTCCTTTTTCGACCAGGGAACATACGGTGACTACTTAATGAATACTCCTTATTCAATTCCGTTCAGTGACCCTGATAGCCTGCGTTACATTCGGAATTTTCTTCGTAAATTGATGTGACGCAGGCTATGACCATGAATTAATGCCACTTTTTAATAATGAAGAAAAATAAATATTTTATCGAAGATTATATATTAATTTTTGATTTTTACAATTTTGATGACACCAATTGATTATCATGCATTTGGAAGTATATAAACCTTTATATCTCCAAGATGCATAATTTAAATCATGTAAAAATATTTTACCATTTAACTATTTCTTTCAGAATCAATGCTGAAAATATTGATTTAGGTGTTTTAGGCGAAGGAAGTGGGGCACGAGGGGTTGGGGGGAGTTAGGGGGGGTAGGTTTTCTTCCTAAATGATAGTTTCTTTTTAGTTTACTCCCCCTCCCTC